ACCAAGTACTTCAGGTGGGAATGTACCTGAGGAACAACGGGAGTGGGGTGGGGGGTTATCAAGGGGCTACAGGGAAGCCCCACTTCTGGAGCTCCTGAAAACGTAGGGTCTCCTGTCTCCCTCCGACCCTACCAGTAAGGCCTCCCGGGCTCTGTGTATCACAGTAACTAGCAGTTGCTTTGAACAGAGAAAAGAAATCAGACACAACTTGCTCTGTGGTTCTAAAGGTGGGGACAGGTCCTGGAAGTGGGGGTAAACACCAGGCTGAGAAACGGGATATAATGCTATATACCTGCAACGACCAGGGAAACCAACTCTGAGGCTAACGGGTAGGTCAGAAATCTGTTTTGAGCTCCTCTAGAGTTTTGCTAGTGGGAGCACAGCTGGAACCTGGGGGTCAATGGGGGCACTCAGGAAAAACTGAACCACATGGCAGCAGCCTCAGGCGGGACCTCTGCCCTGGGTAAGGGCAGGCAGTGTCCAGGCCGGGGGCCCTGAGCACAGGTAAGCATTTTAAGTGCAAAAGCTCCCACTGCCACTGGAAATGGCACCTGCAGATGTTATGAATGCAATGGAGGCAGGTTTGGGAGTCAGACAAATGGGTTCTTATGGGTGTTCTCGCACTAATTTGCTGGATGCCCTTGGTTAAGTGGCTTAGGGTGAGGCAGCAGTTCTGATATCTGCACAATAAGGCCCAGAGTCCCTTTCAGCACTGGATATTATATGGGCTTTGTCCTCATGAGGGCTTCTCTAGTGGCTCAGACGGTAAAGAATCTGCCTGTAATGCAGGAGGCCAGGGTTCAATCCCTGGTTCAGGAAGATCCCCTGGAGAAGGAAATAGCTACCCACTCCAGTATTCTTGCCTGGAGAATGCCATGAACAGAGGAGCCTGGTGGGCTATAGTCCATGGGATCACAGAGTTGAACACAACTGAACAACCAACACTTCTACTTCACACCATCCTCAAGAACATACTTTTTCTTAATACTGTTTCATTTCTTGAGGGATTCAAATTTCACTGCCAGGAAAAGGTACTTTATCTGTTAAAATAAATGCTGCAAAGAGCAGACTCAAACCTCGGTGTCCTACATTTTTGCTTTCCTGTCATCAGAACAATCTCAAATGTCTATTACCAACATCACCATTGTGGATCATCTACCCCCATTGCTAGCCAGAGTTTTTGTTCTGACATTTGAGACATGAAGCCTTCGTGGTAAAACCAACAATGTCAGGGCTGACACTGTGTTCATCTGACAACTTACAGCTCGGACAGCGAGGATATCTCCAACAGAAAGCCATTTCAGGATATGAAAGAGTGCATCTTCAGGGAGATTCAAGATTGTGAGGTTTCGAGGTCTCCTTCTTATTCTCCGCTTTGAAGGATAACAGAAACACTTGGCACACCTACAGTGGATCACTTAAGAAAAAAAATTGGAATGGTTTAAGTGATGTGTTGGAAATGAATTGTGCTGATATGAAAAGTTACACCTGAACATGTTTTAACAGTTACTGGTCCTCTGCCCCAGCCATAGTTACAGTCCCAAAGATTAAATAAATAAGTGTTGGTGGTATAAGAGACATCTTCATTCATTCAAATATTTGATAAACGTTTATGGTGAGTAGTAATCATGTAACCTGGCCATTGGGAAACCATCTGACCCACAGCCCAGATAACAACAAGGAAGAAAGAAGAGCAGAGCCAGGGAGACCCCTGGACCCTAGCTAATTTCTTTGCTTCTATTTGCACACATGACTAAAACATGAAATGTTAATAAGGATTTGAACAATCTGGTTTTCGAGTTCAAATTCCGAGGGTCCGTCCTGCAGAGAAGCCAAGAGTGGACTTGGAGGGCAGGCCAGTCCCAGCTCTGTGGATGTCAGAGCTGTCCAGCCAGTCTCAAGGTCCTTTGAGACCCTGACAGGGGGTCCTTCCAACTTCAACTCCAGCAACTCTTTCCTCCCTCCAAGCAGAGGAGCCTGTGGCAGAAGGAGCCATCTCTGACGCTTTACCAGGTTCTTCATCCGCCTCTTCCTCCAGTCCCCACGGGAGGTGGCTGCTCCACCACCGGCAAGTTCCCTACTCAGGGCGTCTTCCTGCCCTCTTCCCTCGTTCCTCACCCGGGCTTCCCATCAGTAATTAACCTAATGCGAAAGCTGAGCGCATACGCAGCTCGACCGATCCTTGTCTTTTGCCCCATTTTCCTCACCCCCTGCCCTAGGACAGCCACGGTACAACCACGGAAACCTCGGCGGCGCTCACGGCCCTGCACAGGTGGCGGTCCCCTCGCGTCGCTTTCTCGCGGAGCCGGGCGCCGCTGGGTATTTAAACCGCGCGCCGGGCAGGCGCCGTCGGGACGATCCGAACCCCGGGCCGAAAGGCTCAAGCTGGCCCCACTCAGCCTGGAGGCCGCTCCACCGCTCCCCGCGCCCCGGGCCCCGCGCCCCGCGCTCACCGCCTCCGCTCCCCATAGCCGTCGCCGCTGCCGTGGCCGCCGCTGCCGCTGTAGCCGCCAGACCCGCCAGCGGGCCCAGAGCGCGCCTCCCTACGCAGGCGCAGACCCGCCCGCCTCCCGCCTGAGTTTTCAAACGCGCCAGGCGTTCCCATTGGCCCACCACGGGGGGCGCGCGCCACTACCCCGCCAGGCTCCGCCCCAAGCCACGCCCCCTCGGCATCGAGCGCCCGCGACTGGCTGCTCCAGGATGCGAATTCGAACGCCGGCTGTTGATTGGTGGAGCCTGCGCGGCCGCCCCGCCTCCCCTGTACGGGCTGGGGCCTAAAGTAGCGCGGCTCCAGGGCAGCAGGCAGTGGAGTTCGTGGGTCCGCTCCGGCCCGCGTTGACATGCCTTATTCTGGGATTCGGCCTTGCTGCTCACTCGGCGGCAGAGGTCACGGCGACCGGAGCCCATGGCGCACAGTGGGTTGTCAGTGAAGTTCTGAGCGGACCGGCCGCGCCTTCGAGTCCGGGGTCTCTGAGCGCGGACCCCGACGCGGTCTTCTACCTGCGTGGATGCAGGCGAGCGAGCGCCCGCGGGAGGCACCTCACCGAGGCTGCCCATGACCTTAGTGGCCCGCACCCTGAGGCCGCAGGCCCTGCTTCCCGTCCTTGCTTCAGGCGAGGAGACCCTTGGTTCTCTGCTGCGTCGCTCTTAGCATAGATCGCAGGGCAGAAACAGACCTGGGTGACTCATCCAGCACGTCTGACTCCTTCCCTTGAAACGTGGCTCACCCTGGACCCCTCCTCCATCCCTCCCAGGGCAAGCCCTCACCGTCTCACCCGGACCTTGTCAGTCCTCAACATCTCCTCGCGGTCAATCGGGAGCCCACTAAAACCGAAAAGCACACCTGCTTGCTTTAGTGGCGGCAACATTCTGTTCACCCAGGTATCAGGCAGTGCCCACCGGGCCTTTCGGGAACCATCTCACATCCCACCTCCTCCAGTGAGACATTCTGACAAGGAAAGAAATGCGACTTCTGGGAGAAGTGCTTGATGGCCGAGGACACAGTGGTTTTTCCCAGAGAAGCTAGGGAACCTGGGTCAAGGCTCTCTTCTTACCCTCTTCCCGAGGCCTCAAACTGTGCTCTGTCCCCCACCCCTCACGCTGCTCTCTAAACTCCATCAGGGTACTCCTTCTGTGCTCAGCAGCTGAACACACACAGGAGGCAAGGTGCCAAGCCTCCAAGCCAGTCTGGAGTAGGAGACAAGTGAACAGATGATCACAGCCAGCTATGAGGAAGCCGGGGTGAGGAGGTGGGGGTGGTGTGTGCAGAGGAGGAGTGGGTAGGGCAGAGCAAGCCTGGGGCCTGTCCACAAGAATCCTCCCGGCCTGAGGGCTTTCAGCCTTTCTCCCACATCTGTGTTCCCACTGGTTAGAGTTTCCCAGCTTGGTACTTTGTTGTCCTCCCCCTGCACTGTTACTTTTTTGCTGGAATCCTCAAGGCTGAGGCCCAGGCTCTTAGCAGTCACAGGAAAGATGGGTGTGCAGCTGGACATAAGGACGCTGTGCTTCTGGGGAATGTTGCGTGGGGGTGGGAAGTGGGGCCAGGGATGGCAGACACCACACTCCCTCCTGGAGCTTGGCTTAGAAGGTAGGGAGAGGACTACCTGCAAAGGAGCCCAGCGGGGCTTGTGAGAGGGGCTGGCATGACCACGCTGGAGGAGAAGTTGTGTGCCCGGGCCCTTCTTGGAGGGCCCTTGTGACAAAAGTGCAGGCTTGATGGTCCCAGCTCACAGCCTTCGCTCACTGCCTCTCAGGCCCGAGATGCATCAGAACACAGATTGCTGGACCTCGCCCCCCAAATTTCTGATTCAACAGTGCTGGGGTGGGGTGCAAGAACCTGCATTTCTAACAAGTTTCTGAAGAGGTGGATGCTTCCAGTCAGGAACCCCACTTGAGAACTTCTGCCTGAAGTGAATCCTGGCTCTGCCATCAGCTGACCGTGGCAAGTTGCGGGATGTCTCTAGGTCTCAGCTTACTCTTCCAGGCAATGTGGATAATAATTATGACTACATCACAGGTTGATAGAGGGCCACATACAGGTTAGGGTTAGTGTTAGGGCCAGGGCAGAGAACAGATGGAGCCACACAAATTGAAATATTGAAAAATGGTGACTTAAGTTTGCAAATTTCTCTTGCCTCCTACTTTCAGAAGCATGGCCCTGTTACACCGTGCTCAGAAGCACGGCCCTGTTACCCCGCGCTCAGAAGCACGGCCCTCTTACAGCCATAGTCACCCCCAGGCCTTCGTGCTCCTAAAGGGATGTGACAGGTGTCCCTCTGATTCCATGGCCAGGTCTCAGTGAGGCTGCAGGCCACTCATATGTGATCCAAGGGGATCCCTTTCCACAGAAATGGACCTGGATTCTCCACCAGGCCTCTAAGGCGGGTGCCCTCAATCTGGCAGAAAGCCAACCCACCCCTCCACCCCCAAGCTGAGCTTACTGGGTCTTCAGGTTGCCTCTGTACGCCTTGCAGCCCATGGCAGGCTGTGTGCACTCGGGCTAACCTGGCACAGGGAACTCTTTATTACAGCAAGGCAGTCTTTGAGGGATGTGGTGAGGGAGGCTGGGAGGCAGGTGGAGAGCGAGGCAGAGACGGTGGCTGGGATGAAGAACTGAAGGGAATTGGAGTGGGAGGCCAGGAGAGAGGCTGGGAGAAATGCTGAGAGGAACATGGAGTAGGGGGTGGAGTGGGAGGTGGAGACGGTCGCTGGGAAGAAGAGGGAGAGAGAGGTGGACTGGGAAACGCGAGGTCTGCGGGCTTGGCCCTCTCTTGTCTGTTACTCCCTTGGGCAGGGGGCACAGGGCAGCTGAAGCTCAGGAAGATGTCCTCCAGGGAGATCTGGTTGACTGAGTAGTCCTCCAACATGTATGTCACCTTGGCTTGCTCCATAATGCCGAACACCTGTGGGAAGGAAGGGGCCGCTGTGGATGGCAGGCACAGGGGAGCGGGGGCGGACGCAGCAAGGGGTGGGAAGAGGAAGGGTCTTTGAGAGTGTTACACAGCCCCCAGAGACCCATTCCTCTCTCAGCTGCTCCGAGACCACCTCTCAGGCAGTCAGTCCTGCAGAATTCAGCTGTCTGCAATCGCAGGGAAAGGGACCTGGCTGGGAGTGGTGCCAGAGGCAGAGGTCCCACAGGGTCTTGGCTTGCTGTGTGCCCTGGGCATGTGACGTGCCCTCTTTGAGCCAGCTCCCCTCTCTGTGAGATGAGGGAGCGGGAGGAGCTGATCTCTGAGGTCCCTTCCAGTTCAAATATTCTTATCAACATTTTCTATGAAATTCACATGAATGTTGCAGCAGGGCTGAATTGGGAGTTCCACTGGAGAGAACTCAGTGCACAACATCAGAGGTGGGCTCCCTGATGTCCAGATATGTGCTCACCTTCGCCCAGCTGAGGTCATCGCCAGGCAGGTGGTAATGGACCATCCCTTGGTGCTCATCCTCCAGGACGCTGCCTACACAAAGGAGAGACCATGTCACCCTGAGGGCCAGGCTGGATGGCCAGGGGAGGGTGGTCTTGGCCCTGGAATCGTGATTCTGTTCCCAGTGCTCAGGGATGCACAGACGCACGGCGCCCTCTGCGGCACACACCTGGGAAGGTCAGGCCCACAAACGCCTTGAACTCCTCCAGTGTCTCCTGCTGCCCGTCACTCCGGATCTTGGCCCGTAGGGAGTAGCCGCTGCCAAACTTGCTCTTGAGGTGCTGTGGGCTGCCCAGGCACTTGAACTGACCCTGTACCATGATGGCCAGCCGGGTGCACAAGGCTTCACACTCCTCCATGCTGGGGAGAGGGGGCGGAGCCTGATATAGCATCGGGGAATGCTGATGCCCGCCCTCCACGTCAAAACCATGCACCTGGGAGAGTGCTGATGCCCAGATCAAGCTGTTCCTGATTCCCACGTGCAGGGTGTGGCCCACTCGCCTCACAGACTCTTCACCAGAGGCTGAGAGATCTTCTGTCCACCCAGCCCTTCCCAGCCCACCTGGCCCACAGCCCCCATCCTGGCTGGACCTGTGGGAGGTGATGATGATGGCCTTGCCGGACTTTCGGGCCCGTGCCACAGTGCCCCAGAGCAGACGCCGGGCCACAGGGTCCATGCCAGTGGATGGCTCGTCCAGGAAGATGACCACAGGCTCTCCCAGCAGGGCAATGCCGGCACTCAGCTTCCGCCTGTTGCCGCCACTGGGGCCAAGGGGGAGAAATTGGGTGACTGGCAACCCTAAGTTTCCAGTAGTGCAATCTTCCCTGCATTTCCCTTTGTTAAGAAAGTGTTCATGCACCCTGGTGGGGTGCTCAGTAACATGACCCACCACCCTCCCCCAGGGATACACTATGACTCAGCTGTCTACTCAGCATCTAAACCATTCTCCTGGGCATAGGGATCGGTCCAGGCTGAGCACATGGTCCGTGGATCTCCTCTGAGGGCCTCTATGGGTGTCACAGGGTAAGGGCATAGAACCGTTTTAGCTCATTTCTTTTAACGAACACATAGCATTTATGATGTAAAGGTACTTCCCAAATGTTAATTCATTTAATCATCAAAAGATGCAGGGAAACATGAAAACAAGATTGAAACAGAAGTTAACAGAAGAAAGAGGGCACCATCCTCTAACTCCTGGGCGCCCTGACTCCCAGTCCTGCTAACAGTCTGCAGGGGCGCTGTGCACAGCTCAAGGGGTGGCCTGGGACTTGGGACTGAGTAGCCTTGCTTCGTTTAAGCTAACTGGAATTGGGTTAGCTAACTGGTGACAGAAGACCCAGGAAGTCCCCACGCTCTTCAGCAGAACATGAGCTGCTCAGACGGCTCGCACAGAGCAGGGTGCGGGAGTGTGGGCGTGCAGTGCCAACCTGCCACAGGCCAGAAGCCCTTGTGAAGCGGCAGGAAGAGTTAACAGCTGTGGTGCGTCAGCCAATCCTCAGCCAGGTAACCAGAGGAAGCAGGGCCATGGGACAGCTCAGGCCGTTGACCCATTCTCACAGAGGAGAAAGGCCACCTCTCTGGAAACCTGCGCAGTGGTGAGGACCATACAGCTCCCCCAGGCACAGAGCCAGCAGGCCTTGCCCTACCCCCCAGCACTGAACAGAACCAGAGGACATCTTATTTTGGGACAGGGAGGGCCGAGGGAGCCCCGAGTCTCACCTGTAGGTCCTCACCAATTTGTCGGCGTACGTGTACATGAGCAAGTCATCAAGAATTTGGTCCACACAGGAGCTGATGTGACGCTCAGGGATACCCCGGAGCCGGGAGAACATGACCAGCGTCTCCTTGCCCGTCATGTGGTCCAGCAGGGCATCAACCTGGGGACAGTAGCCGATCCACTGTCGCACCTGGAGTTGGAGCACAGCCCAAGGGGAAGGCGGGTCAGAAGGAAAGCTGCCCACTGGGCAGGTGCCTGGCCTCTGCCGCATGCACACCCACAAGTGCCAGGTGAACACACGTGTGCCACGGGCCACCAGTGACATTTGGGAGCCTGGATGCAGCACTGGCTTCTGGTGTGAACCCCAACCCTAGAGGGCGCACGTGGGTCTGGAGTGCTTACAATCCTGCCTGCCCAGCAGGAAATCTCAATGTCCAGAGTTGCCCTATCTCTTGTCACGTTTCAAGAGTATGGTCAGCAGAAGACACTTTATTTTTTCCCGTTTAAGCATATTTTCTATTAGACAAGTAACCCACAAATACATTTTCTTTGTGAGGGTGCTGTAGTCTCTTGTCTGGGGCCCGCCCCAGGTGGTGCAGTCACATCAAGGTGCACTTCCAGACTTCTGCATGGCTGCGTAGAACACAACTGGATTATCTTTATTTACCATTCTGCACTTACCATTTTACCATTCTATCATTTTAATTCAGTATTATGTATTAAAGATCTTGCTTGGTCAGTAAATATTAATACAAACCTATTTCAACTTGGGCTTCCCAGGTAGCTCAGTGGTAGAGAATCTGTCTGCCAAAGGAGGAAGCACAAGAGACACAGTTTCTTTCAATCCCTGAGTTGGGAAGATCCCCTGGAGAAGGAAATGGCAAGCCACTCCAGTATTCTTGCCTGGAAAATCCCATTGACAGAGGAGCCTGATCATGGGGTCGCAGAGAGTTGGACACTACTGAGCAACTGAGCACACAAGCCTATTCCAACTCCGTTTGATTGCGACTCAATCATTCAGATTTGGGTTGGCTGTTTATAAAAGATTCAGGCATAAGTGTGATATTTCCGAGTTTTTGCTGTTATGAATTTGCAGCAAACCAGGCTCCTCTGTCCATGGGATCCTCCAGGCAAGAATACTGGAGTGGGTGGCATGCCTTCTTCCAGGGGAGTTGACCATAAATGCATGCATTTATTTCTGAGCTCTCTATTCTGTTCCATTGATCTATGTGTCTGTTTTTATGCCAGTACCATATAGTTTTGATTACTGGAGCTTTGTACTATAGTCTGAAGTCAGGGAGCATGATACCTCTAGCTCTTTTGTCTCAAGACAGTTTTGTTAATTTTTTTTTTTAGTTTGTTAATATTTTTTTAAAAACCATGAGTGGGTACTGAATTTTCATCCAATGCTTTTTCCGCTTCTATTGATAAATATTTTCCTCCTTTCATCTATGAAGGTAGTGCTTTATACTGGTAGATTTCCTACTATTACATCTTACTTACATTTCTGGAATAAGCCTGACAATTGTAATTTTTATTCTTTCAATATCCTGCTGAATTTCTATTGTCAATATCTTCAGTTCAGTGGCTCAGTTGTGTCCGACTCTGAGACACCATGTACTGCAGCACACCATGCTTCCCTGTCCATCACCAACTCCTGGAGCTTGCTCAAACTCATGTCCATTGAGTCGGTGATGCCATCCAACCATCTCATCCTCTGTTGCCCTCTTCTCCTCCTGCCCTCAGTCTTTCCCAGCATCCCGGTCTTTTCCAATGAGTCAGCTCTTCACATGAGGTAAGGATTGGAGTTTCAGCTTCAGCATCAGTCCTTCCAGTGAACACTCAGGACTGATCTCCTTTAGGATGGACTGGTTGGATCTCCCTGCAGTCCAAGGGACTCTCAAGAGTCTTTTCCAGCACCACAGTTTTTAGACTTAACATTTAAGTAATATCATACAGTATTTGTTTTCTTCTCTCTGACATTTCTCTTTGCATAGTACCCTCCAAGTTCATCCATGTTGTTTCAAATGGCAAAATTATATATATATGTATGTATGTATGTATATCCACAGAGGCTACACCAATTTACATTCCTACAAACAGTGTATGAGGGTTCCCTTTTCTCCACATCCTCTCTAACATTTGTTTATGTTCTTTATGATGATAGCCATTGTGACTGGTATGAGGTGATAGGTCATTGTGGTTTTGATTTGCAATATCCTTACTGACCAGTGATGCTTGGCATAGTTTCATGTGCCTATTGGCACATCTGCATCTCCTCTTTGGAGAAAGTGTTTATTCAGATCTCTGTCCATTTTTTAATTGGGTTGTTTATTTTTNTTGTGCCCATCTTTGGATGAAATGTTCCCTTGGTATCTCTAATTTTCTTGAAGAGATCTCTAGTCTTTCCCATTCTATTGTTTTCCTCTATTTCTTTGCATTGCTCACTGAGGAAAGCTTTCTTATCTCTCCTTGCTATTCTTTGGAACTCTGCATTCAAATGGGTATATCTTTCCTTTTCTCCTTTGCCTTTCTGGCATGCTCACTGAGGAAAGCTTTCTTATCTCTCCTTGCTATTCTTTGGAACTCTGCATTCAAATGGGTATATCTTTCCTTTTCTCCTTTGCCTTTCTCTTCTTTTCTCAGCTATCTAAATATCTTACTTAAGGCTTTATGTTCCTATATGAAGCTGGCCTATGGCTCATGTTGGACATTGTCTTTGTATGATTCTCACTTCAGATTGGGTAACACCCCATCTTCTGTGATTCGGAAGAGATGTACAAGAAGGAAATAACTGCTTGGTGGTGGCTGGTAGACTTGCCCATCAATCCCTTTTAGCCTGGACTCTTTTAAGAAAGGGTAGATCTTCAATCATTATTTCAACTTTACCTCCAGTGTTGGTCTATATAGGCTTTCAACTTTGTGAACAAATTTTTGGATAGAAGGCTTGAAAATGTTATAATTTGATGCAAAGAAAATTAAGGAATGTGCTGTTTCTTACATACCTGAGTTTGGAGTAAGCCTACTGCCATGGGATGGCCACGGAGCCCCGCTCAGAGCACAGAGGCCCCACGGACCAGGGAAAGTCCCACAGTGGAGCTGAACAATTCTGAGACGGTGAATGACTTTGACAAAAATGACTGTGGACACTCAAAAGTCATTGTTGACTTTTGGCATACCAGCAGATTCTGAAAAGAATTGTTGTTGTTGTTGTTCAGTTGCTAAGTTGTGTCTGACTCTTTGCAACTCCTTGGACTGCAGCACTTCAGGCTTCCCTGTCCTTCAATGTCTCCCAGAGTTTGCTCAAATTCATGTCCACTGAGCCTGTGATGCCATCTAACCACCTCATCCTCTGTTGCCCCCTTCACCTGCTCTCAATCTTTCCCAGCATCAGGGATCTTTTCCAATGAGTCGGCTCTTCACATGTGGTAAGAATATATTTTAGGAAATTTGAAAGAATGTTTAAAAATACTTGCACATGTAAAGGGTGGTAAGCAGAAGGCTCACAAAGGAAGAGAGCAAGGATGTAGATTGTTTGAGTTTGCTAATGAGATTAATCCATGTGGGATTTCTAGGAGAAAGTGAAGTGAGGAGCATATTGAACTACATTTCCTACCATGAATTTTCACAAATTTCCAGGAGGTGATGTGCAGACAGATTTCAGGAAGATGGAAATCCAATTTCTTGCCAGTCAGACAGGAGGAGGGTATTATAGGCAGATGCTGCTTGATTTTAAATAATACAAAGAAATGTAACATTCCTTTTATCTGAGTTTACAGAGCCGATTTGTACTTGCCTCTCAGTGAGCCTCAACAAGTTGGATAGATGACTGGTGATAATAAGGCTAGTGGGTAGGTCTGTCATGACCACCTGCCCTCACCCTGTCTTGTGGTGTCTTTTATTCCTTTGCTTGTTCATTCCTTCTTCCTTTTTTTTTGGTAATAACTTATTGAGATATAATTCACGTATCATACAATTCATTCATCAAATGTGTTCAATTCAGTGGCTTTTAGTATATTCACACTGGTGGTCCATGATCACAGTCAATTTTATAACATGGCATCGCTCCTCCCCAGAGAAACTTCAAATCCATGAAAAGTTACTACCCATTTTCCCCAGAACGCCCAACCCTTGGCAACCATCAATTTGCTTATCACCAAGGATTTGCCTGTTCTGGATAAACAGAATCACACAATCTGTGCCCTTTCGTGATCTGCTTCTTTCACTCTGCATCACATATTTAAGGTCCATTCGTAGTGTAGCGTATGTCAGTGCTTCATTCCTTCTTTATGGTTGAATGATATCCTAGCGCATGGATAGATCACATTTTGTTTATCCATTCATCTGTTTGTTGGTGGACATCAGGGTTGATTATACCTTTTGGCTACTGTGGAAAATGCTGCTATGAACATTCATGTACAAATTTTTGTGTGAATGTATTAACAGTTTTTTAGTTCTCTTGGATATATATACCTAGGAGTGAAACTGCTGGGTGATATGGTAACTCTGTTTTAACCTTTGAGTATCTTCTCTAATAATCTCAATCTTCTAATTGAAGTCTTTCATCCATTTATATGTAATGTAATTGCTAATATAATTGGATTTAAATCTACCATCTTATTAGGGCTATCTACTTGTCCTATATGTTCTATATTCCTTTTTCTCTTTTACTCTGTCTCCTATTGCATTGATTATTTTTTATGATACACAGGGCTGCCTGAGAGTCTTCATGACATGGCTGTTAGTCTTCCCCAGAGTGAGTGGTGTGAAGGGGAGTATACTCAAAAGAGAAGCTGCAGTGTCCCTCATGACCCAGTCTCAAAAGTGACATACCACTTCTTCCACAGTATTCCATCAGTCACACAGACCAATTCTGGTACAATCTGGGGTGATCTTCTTAAGGGTGTAAATCTCAGGAGCGTTACTAGGGGCTGTCTTGAAGGTATACCACAATGTCTCTTATCTTCTTCTGTATATTTGTTTTCTACACTTTAATTCTCCATGCTTCATTCTAAATTATTTTTTTGCAGGGAGGAGTTGCTGTTTGGGTACATGTGTGTGGTTATTTTTTTTTTTCAATGTGCACCAAACACTGCATTTCAAGTTGTTTGCCAAAATCATTTGAGGCCTAGGATGCGAGCCTCTTCTGCCAGCTTCTCCTGACATTTGCTTCTGCCAGGCACCTGGGAGCACTTGTGATTTAGAGTCACATCAATTCCATTTCAGGGACTGACAAGAGTCCAGGTTGTTCTGCAATCCTTGCATGAACTTGTCTAAGTACAGTTCATCCCTACGCCTGAGACGCAGCCCTCCAGGGTCCCGACTCAAGGAAAGGATGCTTGCACCAGGCCTCCCTATGCCCCAGAAGGCTCATCCTGAACTCCAGTGTGGGCCAGTTCAAAACTAAGGGCAAAAAATATTCAGATCTCAGCAACCCAGCCTTGAATGGCCCACCTCCCTGGGTCCCTGTCCTCCTCTACCTCTTGGCTCATAAGTCTTCACTATCTTTTTAGTTCTCTGAATCCTTCAAAGATCTGTTTCCAAAATTTGGTTCTATTTTTCTAGTTATTAATGACCACCAGGAAAGGGATTAGAGTTACCTGATTTGCCATTACCAAAAGACTTGTCCATATTTTAAAATAACAAAAGTTAAAATTAATAGTAAATGGCTCATAGCCATGAGATGCTTATACTGGTTATGGTTGCTTGGCCAAGCAGTGTATGCTAAAAGGTGACAGAGAGTGATAATTATGAGCATGGATTCTGCAACTAGCCCATGTTGATTCTTCTGCTTTCTCTCTAAACTTTATGTTGGTCATGGACAGTAAAGCTAGTACAGTGCATGCTGTGAATGGAACAGCTTCGATTAGACCCCTATAGTTTGGTCTCCTCGTATGCCTGTCATTGAATCCACTGTATACTGACCCCACTCCCCCACCATCATTACACTTAAGTCACTGCATGGCAACGGCTGGTTCTCAAGATCATGAACTCCTTGCAAGTGAGAGTCACTGGACTTACACAACTGTTGGCATACACTAGGCATTCAAAAATTGTTTCACTGAATTGGTGCCAATAATGGAAGTAGACTCCAAGAAGAGGGTCAGGTGTGAGTGATATATACTAAATTTGACTATGTCTGAGTCAAGCTGTTTAGAAGGGATGTATATGCAGGTCTGAAACAGGACTGGGATTGGGCTGAGGGTGTGGCTACTTGGGAGCCATCAGCAAACAGAAGATAATGGGAGTCAGCGTAAAGAATGAGATTGGGGGCGGTGGGGACTGTCTGTGTGGAAGAGACAGTGGGCTGATGCTGAGGCCCTGGGGAGCAGTGCAGTCTAATGGGCTGGAGGAAGAAGATCCATCACAGGAGTCTAAGGAAGAAGTGTCAGTGAGAGAAGAGCTAGAAGAAAGGGGACGCTACAGGAGCAAACAAAGGAAAGCTACAGTGTGAAGGAGAGAAAGGCCTGCAAGAAGAAATGCTTCGGAGAAGGCAAGGAAGCTGAACTCAAAGTTAGAAGTGGCCTTGGCTCGGGAAGTGCAGTGGGCACAGGGCCAGGGAGGAGAGATTCCAGGGCTCGTTGGGAGGGAGCATCCATGGACCATGGCTGCCGGCTGGGTGTCCTGAGTGGTGCCTGGGACAGTGGTAGATGGTGCCACTCACTCCTCCAAGGCGCACAGGGGGAGGGGGGGGAAGAGACGGTGGTTTGTGGGGACAGCTGATGGCTTTGGGGGTCCACTGGGCTTGAGATGCCTTGGGTTTCAGGGACATTTCCAAGGCAATGTTCAATAAGCAGCTTGACATACAATTTGGAGCTCAGAGAAGAGGTCTAGGAAGGAGCTATGGATCTGGGAGTCAGAGATAAACCCGACACCTGGAATTTTCAAAGATGGGTTTCATTCCAGTTCCCTGTCCCCAACCCTCTATAACACCCACAGGTGTATTTCAGTGGGCCCTCTTCCTGATACACCCACACCACCCCTAGGTTCATGCCCCCTCGTCTCAGGTCACCGCCTACCTTCCTCAAGTCAGAGCTGAGGCTGATGCTGTTGACAAAGGCGTCCCCAGAGGTGATAGACTCTTCCCCAGTCAGTATCTTGAAAATGGTAGTTTTCCCGGCTCCATTGAGGCCAAGAAGACCAAAGCACTCCTCTGCTTGAACAGTGAAGGAAACCTTGTTCACAGCCAGTGGAGGAACCTTCCTGGAATAGACCTGAGATAGCCAAGACAGAAGACAAGACACCCAGTGAGGCAGCCTGGAGCCAGCAGCCCGGAGTTGTCAGCTGCACTCCAGTTCTGCCCCCAGGGCCCCAGGACTCCGAGGTATCCAGGCTGGGATCTGCCTTCTCATCCCAGCTGCTGCTCCCAGTGGGCTCAGAAGGTTTTTTCTCTTCCTGCCCCTGCACACTGAGAACATAGTTCTCTAAGATAAGCCTCTTCCCTGCTTTCCTCGAAGCAAAGAAAACCACTTTGATGTTGCCTGAGCTGGTTTCTGGGGGCTTTTTAAAAAATATATAAATTTATTTAATTGGAGGCTAATTACTTTACAATATTGTACTGGTTTTGCCATACATTGACATGAATCCGCCATGAGGGTGTACATGTGTTCCCCATCCTGAACCCCCCTCCCACCTCCTGCCCCATCCCATCCCTCTGGGTCTTCCCCAGGGTGCAACAGCCCCGAGCACCCTGTCTCATGCATCGAACCTGTACTAGCGATTTGTTTCACATATGATAATACACATGTTTCAATGCCATTCTCCCAAATCATCTCACCCTCACCCTCTCCCAGAGTCCAAAAGACTGTTCTATACATCTGTGTCTCTTTTGCTGTCTCGCATACAGGGTTATTACTATCTTTCTAAATTCCATATATATGCATTATTATACTGTATTGGTATTTTTCTTTCTGGCTTATTTCACTCTGTATAATAGGCTCCAGTTTCATCCACCTCATTAGAACTGACTCAAATGTATTCTTTTTAATGGCTGAGTAATATTCCATTGTGTTTATGTACCACAGCTTTCTTATCCATTCGTCCGCCGATGGACATCTAGGTTGCTTCCATGTCCTGGCTATTATAAACAGTGCTGTGATGAACATTGGGGTGCATGTGTCTCTTTCAGATCTGGTTTCCTCAGTGTGTATGCCCAGAAGTGNCCTTTTCCAGAGGATCTTCCCGACCCAGGAATTGAACTGGGGTCTCCTGCATTGGCAAATTATTTTATATGAAGTTTTCTCAAGGCAAAACATAAAACAAAACTGATATCTGATAGACATTTGCATTCCTTATGCCAAAGAACAATAATACCCCAGGGGTTAAAACTAGAAGCTACAGTTTGAATTTCTTATGAATTCAATCTCAGCATAGTGACATAAATAATGAACTAGGCCAGATATCATATACAAAAAGTTTTTAGTAGGCTTCCACTTTAAATCTTTATCTAAGAGTTTTGTTTTGTACTCACTGTTTTGAGAGAAGAATTCTTAACTAAGAATCAGGACCAACATGGACATTTAACTTTGGCTAAAAAAAAAAAAAAAGAGAGAGAGAGAAATTAGGAACTGCATACATAAGAAAGTAACTTCTGTTTTCTTCATGAAGAGGTCATTATGACTGTATATCTTGTTTCCAAACATCAGTAAATAAAAAGTGTTCACTGAGAGGTTTTTTCCTCTGGAAATGCAAATGTTGGTTAGGAGGATTCTTTTTTAGAATTTTCTTTGGAAAGTTCTGTGGAAATCAAACATACTCATAGGAATACTGTTTATTTTTTTTTATCCATTGTATTTCCAAAAAGGATTTTAAGATTCTGGAAAATATAACGGATAATGTTCAACGTTGGAACACAAGAAATATTTTTCAAATGAAACCTTAATAGACTTTTATTAACAATTTCGAAATTTGGTTCAGATGATGTGGTATATGTAAGATACTTTTCGATTATCTAGTGACTTAGCTTAGCTCAGCAAGACCATATTGTGGTGACTTTTTATTATCAATGCAGTTAAGCCAGAACTGTTTCCCACAGTTCCCTTCTCCTCACGACTCTGTTTCCAGGCTGGTCACAAGAAAAAGTTTTGCCAGATATGAAAGGCGGAAGTGATGCAGCAGCCATGTTTAAGCTCCGAATGTTGCTGTCAGGTCAGACGCCATCACAGGTCACACAATGGCTGAGGATTTGCTGGTTCACTTTGTTGGCATGGAAAAGCAGTGGCCGGACCCACTGTGCCTCCAACAAGGGGCTGGACTTCCTTCTTTAGTTTGCTCAAATCCTGGGCCAAGCTCAGGTGCTGCTCCAGAGCACGCAGGTCTTCTGCAGGTCATTCACGTCACTGAGAAGATGGTAGGAGCCCCATAAAAGGTATTGTTGTTTAGTCCCTAAGTCATGTTTGACTCTTTTATGACCTCATGGACTGTTGCCTGCTAGGCTCCTCTGTCCACAGGGTTTTCCAGGCAAGGATACTGGAGCTGATTGCCATTTCCTTCTCCAGGAGATTTTCCCAACCTAGGCATCAACCTGGCGACTCCTGCCGTGTCTCCTGCGTAGCAGGTGGATTCTTCACCTTGGAGCCACTGGGGAAACCCCTCACAAAAGGTATCCTGGATATCTATTCTAGGTTTCATACACTGATAAAAGAGATCTTTTAAAATAATAATACTCTGATTAAGATTTATTTGGCTTCTAACTTCCTTTGGGAATATTTTTAACTTCATACCATAATCAGAGTAAGGGTGAGCCAATCAACTTTCCCAAGAGGGCTGTCTTTTGAACCGAGGAAAACAAGTGGTACACAGATGGAAGCTCGTTCTAGAGAGATCTTTGTAGAACTGATAGTATAAGAGAGGTTGCTAATCTCCATGGTTTGGACAGGCTATCACCAGAACAGTACATGCTGTTTCATTATTCAAAATAGAGGAAAATACATATATAATTACAAAGCTAGTTGACTAGAACAAGAATGAAGTACTATCACTACCCTGTTCTATTGGCTGGGAAGCCTGACCAATGTAGTTAGACTAGAAACAGAAACAAGAAATGTGAGAATTAAAAAGGAAGACACATTGTTTGTAGGTAATGATTGCCTATATGGGAAATCCAACAGGCATTTTAGGCAAATTATTAGAATAATTATTTTAAAGTTCAGCGATTTTCCTGGGGAAAAAATGATTAGTCTGGAAAAGCCTATAGTTTTCCTATATACAAACAATGACAAAGAGAAAGTAGAGCTTAAAAAATTAAATATGTAATATTAAATTAAATTATATATAATTTTTAAAAATGAACAACAAAACTCAGAATACACCTATTAAAAGATGTGAAAGGCTTTTATGGAGATAATGATCATACTTAATTGAAAGACATAAAAGACTGACTAAATGTAAAGATATATTATGAGTGGGAAGACTCAATAAAGTACAGATATCAAGTCCCACCAAATTTATCTATAAATTTCATGCAAATCCAATCAGTACTTTTTTGTGGTATTTGTGGGTGTGTAGAACAATAAAATCATTCTAATATTCATGTCGAAGAGTAGAGAGCCAGAATAGCCAAGCGTATTTGTTTTCTATCATTGCTGTAACAAATTTACCACAAACGTAGTCTCAAAACAATACACATTTATTGCTTACTGTTCTGGAGATCAGAAGTTCATGAGACTTAAAAGGTTAAGATCTAGATGTCAGTGGGGCTGTGTTCCCTCTGGAGGCTCTAGGCAAGAGTCCACCTCTTGCTTTTTCCAGTTTCTAGAAGCTGCCAGTATTCCTTGGCTCCTGGCCATGTCACTCTGCTCTGATCCACCCTTCCCCCATCATATCTTCTTCTCTGCCTCTGACCCTCCTGCCTTCCTCTTAAAGCACCCTTGTGATTACATTGGGTCCACCTAGATAATATACGATTATCTTTTCATTGCAAGATTGTTAACTGAATCAGCTCTGCAATGTCCCTTTTGCCACAAAAGGGTTCTAAGGATTGGGATATGGACCCTTGGGGGGAGACTCCTCTTATTATTTTAATCTTTGCAACACTGTTACACTACTTAAGATTTAGAATGCAACAAAGTAGAAATCTGATCTTCCAGCATATATAAAGAGCTATGACGACTCATCTTTAAAATGGGCAAAGGACTTTGATAGACATTTCTCCAAAGAAGATATTAAAATGGCCAGCAAGAATAAGATGCTCAACATGATTAGCCATTAAGGAAATATATGTCAAAACCATAATGAGATACCACTGACACTCCCTAGAATGACAATCAAAATAATTTTTTAAAATGGAAAATAGAAAAAAAAAATGGAAAATATCAAGTGTTGGTGAGGATGTGGAGAAATTAGATCCTTCATACATTGCTGGTAGGATTGTAAATTGGTGTAGCTGTTGAGGAAGACATTTCAGGAGTCCCACAAAAAGATACACAAAAAATTTCCATATGACCCAGCAATCCCACTCCTAGGAATATACCCCAAAATTGGAAAACAGACACTCAAACAGATAATTGTAGGGCAGTGTTCATAATAGCACTGTTCACAATAGCCAAAATGTAGAAACAGTTCAAATGTTAATCTGATGAATGAATAAGCATAATGTGGTATACCCATACAAATAAATATTATTCAGCCATAAAAAGGAATGAAGTATTGATACTTGTCATAACATGGATGAACCTTGAAAACTTGCTAAGTGAAAGATGCCAGTCACAAAAGGGCACATAGTATATAGTTCCAGTCACATGGAATATACAGAATGGGCAAATTCATAAATACAGAAAGCAGATTAGTGGTTCCCAGGGCCTGGATCAGGGGAGAACAGGGAGTCACTGCTTAATGAGTATGGGGTCTCTTTTATAATCACAAAAAATATACTGGAACTAGATAATGATGACGATTGTTCACACTTGTTAATGTACTAAATGTCACTAATGGTCAATGTTATGCTATGTGTATTTTACCACAATAAAAAACCCACAAATGGTAAATTGTACACATGGACATCATCAGATAGTCAACACCAAAATCAGATTGATCATATTCTTTGCAGCCAAAAATAGAGAAACTCTCTACAGTCAGCAAAAACAAGACCAGGAGCTGACTGCGGCTCAGATTATGAACTTCTTATTGCAAAATTCAGACTTGAACTGAAAAAAGTAGGGAAAACCACTAGATCATTCAGGTATGACCTAAATCAAATCCCTTACGATTATACAGTGGAAGTGATGAACAGATTCAAGACATTAGATCTGGTAGACAGAGTGCCT